TGAGACTCTGATAAAGATCAGGAAATATTTTGATTATTTAGACATGTAGTGTGTAAAAATGCAGATGGTTGGGTATCAGCATGTAGAAATATAACAGTTTCAGGAGAAAAAGTTCGAGTTAGATGTAGGAATACATCAGAAAGATTACAAGCTTAAAATGCTTCAGTTAACGAGTTGATGATACTAAAACAATGTTGATGATGATGATAATGATGGTGGTGAAGATGATGATAAACATGATAATGAATTATCATTATGACGATGGTGATGATGATGATGATGATTATGATAATGATGGTATTGATTTTAAACTTAACAATTAATTTAAAATTTAAATTTTTAGTTAATGGCAATTGGAGCAATTGGACAGAATGGAGTAAATGCTCCAAGACATGCGATTCTGGAGTCCAGAGTCGCAACAGAAAATGTAATAATCCTCCCCCAGCCTATGGTGGGCTTCAATGTATTGATCATCCAAATGAAACAAGAGCTTGCAATATGGAACCTTGTGAAAGTATATATATATTTATATATATATATAATATTAATTAAGATAATAAAAAAATTTTTATTAATAATAATAAGATATTATAATATATAAAATATACTTATACTTAAATATCACTGAAAAAATATATTTATAATTCTTGATCTTTTCTTTTTACAATGTAATGTTATTTTTATATTTGCTATTTTTATTAATTATTATTCTTCTTTTTTTTTTTAAAAGTAGTTTTAAAAGAAGTTTAGTAAATTTTATATAAAGTTTCAAAAAAGTTTGAAAAAACAATCATTAAGAAAAGTAATAAACTATATAAATTTGCAACCACTTTATAAACATTTTTGTTTCATTTAAAGTTTATTTGTATCTGTGACAATGTCAGCATAAAAAAAGTGACAATCTCAGCATAAAAAAATGTAATGAATGAAATAATTAGTCTCATATATTAGTATAAAAAGGTATAAAAAGTTTTAAAAAATATAACATAAGATACATTTAGGTTTTTAAAGAAACACTGAAAATGAAAAAAAAAAATATTTTTTTTATCAATAATTATCACAATATGATTTCTCATACATGCATACAAGAATTTCTTTAAGTTCTTTGTGTTTCCACACTTGCATGCGTGTGACTGGTTTTCCATAATACCTAAAATAAAAAAATCACTTAGCAAAAATTTTTTTTGTTTTTTCATTTAACACTGTGTTTCATAAATAAAGACTACTCAGAAATGAAAATCTGATTCTTGGGAAAGTTTGTGGTTTTCTTTTTTGTGGTTTTTCATTTCTGATGAGTCTTTATTGATGAAACACAGTCTTAAATGCAAACATTTTTTTAATAAGTGATTTTCTACTATATAATTTCTCTGTTCTTTTAAGAACATTGAGCACTCTATTTTGTAGAATACATTTTAAAATTATTTATATATATATAAATAAATAAATATATATATATATATATATATATATATATATATATATATATATATATATATATATATATATATATATATATATATATATATATGTATATATTCATATATATATATATATATATATATATATATATATATATAAATATATATATATATAAATATATATATATATATATATATATATATATATATATATATATATATATATATATATATATATATATATATATATATATATATATATATATATATATATATATATATATATATATACTTACACACGTTCTAAAAATGGACAAAGAAAATATCTATTACTGTTGATGCATCAAAGTATAGTTTACTTTTTTGTTTTGCATTAAGTTCAAGTAAACTGATTTTGAGAAAACAACGAAAAACTAAACTATTCTTAGTAATGTATTAATAGAAATTGATTTTTTTTTGTCCATTTTTAGGACTAAAAATTGTTACTACTATGCTTTTATAAAAAACTCAATATCAAATTAAATAATTTTAATGCGTTTTATAAAAAAATAGTTTTTCAAATAACAAACAAATAACACTTCTTTTTAACTTGCTACTTATAAAAATTTTTTAAGCTTGTAAAAAAAATTTTGTTTTAAGTTTGACAGTGTTGAACATTTTTACATATAATTTTGAACATCTTTATGGTTAGAATTAGGCTTTAAAATATGGTTAAAAAAATAGTTGAAAAATATGACAAATGAAACTTGATAACATATTTATTTTTCGTTTGTAGGAGTCTTAATTTATATTTCTATATTTGTACTACCACATAAAAGTGGTTCAAGAACATTGCTAAAAATATTTAACATATAATGATATTTACATAATAACAATTTAGTTTTCTATTTTTTAATTCTCTTAAATTTTATTAACAACTACAATTTTTAAAATGTAACATTTGTTTCTTAGTTCCACCTGGACCATGGCAGCCATGGGGCCCATGCTCTGTTTCATGTGGCACTGGAACTAGAAATAGAGTAAGACTGTGTCCTTCAGGCCACTGTTATGGAGACTTATCAGAAACAGAACTATGTGAAATGGAAAAATGTCCAGTTCGTAAGTTTTTTATTTCATCACTTTTTTAAGTCTAAGTTTTCTTTACTTTCTAGTTTTTGTAAAAAAAAATCAAATGTTTTTATTTTACAATTTTAATTAAGTTTATTGCATTGATATATTGGGTCAACAACTTTCAACACTTTTTTTATTATATATATATATATATATATATATATATATATATATATATATATATATATATATATATATATATATATATATATATATATATATATATATATATATATATATATATATATATTATATATATATATATATATAATATATATATATATATTATATATATATATATATATATAATATATATATATAACTATAATAATATTTAAAGGTAAAATAATAAAAAAATGCAGTCAATATTTAATTTAAAATAGAATAGTTTAATTTTTGATTTTAATTGGTTAATTTTTAATTTTTATTTTTTAAAAAGCTTTAAGTGTCACTAAGCAGAAGTTTTATATTTTAAATATAATTCATTTGAATATAATTTAAATATTTCCTTTATGAATATAAGAAATTTAAATTCAAAACATAAATAGAACAAACTTTGTTGCAAAATAATACTCTAAAAGTTCAGCTAAGTACTTTTTTAAGTTTTTTGTCATCACTATTTGAACCTGACCTAGCAATCTAATTTATATTAGAAACTTAGATTGTGGTAGGACGAGCTAAAGAAAATTTTTCAACTTTCAATTTTATTTTAAAAAATGAAAGCAAATGTAGAAAAAGTAGAAAAAAAACTTCAAGAATCAGTTGACTAATCCTTGCCCTACAAGCATAGTTATAAAAGTGCAAGAATGGTTATAAAATATAAAAAATAGTTATAAAAGTTGACTGATTCTTGCCCTACAGTAACTGTATAACAACAATTAGTATTAACTGTATAACAATGATAAACTGGTAGCTAAGTTCATTAAAATTATGTAGTAAGTATAATGAACAAGAACTTAAACTTGGATGTTCATTCATTGTCTATTTTAGTTTAGAAAAGAAAAATTGTTATTTTTAATAAAATATTCATTATACTTTAACCTTTATGAAATCCGTTTTTATAAAAATTTAAAACTTCATAAAATCTTATTTAGGTTGTGAGAAGATATTTGATCTAGGCTTTCTAGTTGACTTTTCTGGAGATGCAAATGTTTATTTTCCACTATATACTAAAAATTTTATAATTGAAACAGCTCTTCAGTTTGATATATCAGCAAACAAGTCACACTTTGCTTACCTCCCATATAGTACAATACCTTCCTTGCTTCTACAGAACAATTTGTTTTCAAATCCTGATATAAACAACTTATTGCCTGGCGATGTATCCAATCAGCGTGCTTATTTATATAGTGTTGTTATACCAGAACCAGACCCAGATAAATCCATTAAAAAAGGTTAAAAAGATTTTTATTTAATATTTAAATTATTTAATAAATTTATTAATTTTAATTAATAAAGTACTATTTATCTTTTAAGGATCTTCTTTCCTAAACCGTGGTCTTGTAGCGGCAAGTACAACTATGTTTGCAGTTGAAAATGGCATGAGACCTGATAAAAATAAAGCACTTGTGGTAATTTCTAATGGGAAACAAGATGTTCAACAAATACCTAATCCGACAGATATTTCTTTATATGATGCAAGAAGGCTTCTTGAAAACAAAGGTTTTTAATTTAGTTCTTGTATTTGTATTAAAATGAATTTTGTTGGTGTAAATGGTGGTTGTGTAAATGATTGTGTTTCATATCATGTGACACCATCACACTTAGAGCAACCAGAAAAGTTTATTTAAGTTTTTAAATAATTTTAAAAAACACATTGAAAAATCAACTTTTCCTAATCTATTGTTAAAACTGTCTGTGACAACTTGAATTAATGAAGTCTGTGACAGCTTGAATTGATGAAGTCTTGAATTGATGAAAAAATTTGTAATTTTTACAATTTTTAATTTGTTTATTTATTAATCATACATTAAAATATATATATATATATATATATATATATATATATATATATATATATATATATATATATATATATATATATATATATATATATATATATATATTGGAGTTATTACTCTCTAAGTTAAGATGCTCTAAAAAGTTCTAATGACTAGAACAAGCATCTAACATCAGATCATTTGATTCTGAAGCAAGCACTCTAAAAACTGTGCCATGGCTGCTCACATTTTCTTAAATTAATTTTAACTTATTTTATTTTGTTTGAAATATATTTATTGCACTTTATTAATGAAATTATATATTCAATATAAAACTATAATATAGTTTGATAGTCACATTATGAAATATATTATAAAGAGCTTATACTACAGTTATAAAATTTTACTATTAATGCACATTATGTTTTTTTTGCGTGTGTAAAAAAGATTAACTCATTGAATCATTTCCTTCAATTTTTTATTTAACCGCTTCAGTTATTTGATGACTTTTTAAACAAATATATTTTTTGACTTGAATTTATGGAAAACCTTTTTATTTCCAAAAAAAATGAACAGAAAGATCTGGAGTTCTGGAAAAAGTTCTATGACCTAATTAATCACCTATTTAATAAGTTTCATTGACATGATCAATATCTCCCATATTGTGATATATATATATATATATATATACATATATATATATATATATATATATATATATATATATATATATATATATATATATATATATATATATATATATATATATATATATATATATATATAATAAAATAATTTAAATGAAAAAAATACATTTTTATGATGGAGCTAAAAGTTTCATGCCATTCGGCAATCATCAGCCATATTATTCAAGTAAAAAATAAAAACTGTTATATATATATATAATATATATATATATATATATATATATATATATATATATATATATATATATATATAAAATGTTCACATCATTGATTCTAAAAGTATTTAAACTTTTATTTTTAGGTGTAATAATTGTTGCAGTTGCTATTGGTGATGAAATTAATATTGAAAATCTTAATTTAATTGCATCAGATCCCACTTACATAATAAAAACACAGTATGTGGAATTACAAAGCAAAATAGCTGAGATCACAAACAAAATCTGTGATTGTAAGTGATGTAGCACTAATAAATCAATGGAAAGATATAATAATATATAATAATGAATACATTTATAAAAGTTGGAATATTTTTTTTATTTCATGGCAAGTTGTTATATAACTTGGTGATATATTTATTACATAAAACAAAGTAATTGTTAAAACAACATATTTAACATTGGATATATAGATTATAGAACAGCATACTTAAAAGCATATTTAATGTTTAGAAAGATAAAATTGGGAGAACAATGAAATATTATATTTATAAGAATATTGTATAGAATAATAATTTAAAATTTGAGAAAATTTTTAAAAGGTGCATAGTTAGCTATTATGTAAGCTTTAAATTTTTAAAATTTTTTTTAAATTTCTTTTTTTTTAAATTTCAGTAAAAGGCCATTGGGGTACTTGGGGCAATTGGACCACATGCAGTGTTTCATGTGGTGATGGCATTAAATCAAGAACTAGATCTTGTGTTGATGGGAAAGCTGGGGAAGGTCTCTGTGTGCCTAAAAATGCAGAAAATGATGAAGTTGGCTGCAACTTGGGACCTTGCCCAACAGGTAATTTGCTAAAAAAAAATTCATTTAAAAATAAATAAATTAAAAAAAATCATTTTTAAAAGTCGTTATTTTGATTTAATCTGATAATAAAAACGTTGTTTTTAAATTTTGTCTTTATTTTGAAATATTAAGAAAAATAACAACTGTTATTACATTATTATACTTTTCAGAATAAAGTTGTCTGACAAACTCTAAGTTGAATATTTTTGATGTATTTAGTCCAAGTTGCTCAAACAATACTTTCAAGTAAACATTAATTGAGAACACTAGTTGGTTGGTTTTTGAGCTGCTTAAGTTAACTTTACGCAAACAAAATATCTTTAAACCAATTCGGTTTTATAGTCTTTTATAGTTGAATTTTTAGTTTATTATAACAAAAAGAATAACAAAAAATACCATCATATAACAAAAAACACCATCATATAACAAAAAACACCATCATATAACAAAAAACACCATCATATAACAAAAAACACCATCATATAACAAAAAACACCATCATATAACAAAAAACACCATCATAAGGTCTTTCTTATTGCCTCAACAAAAATACCACAAATGTCTTTATTACTGCCAAAATACAAACACTAAAAAAAATTAATTACTGCCACAATAAAACACCACAATATTATTACTTCCACATTAAATATTACTACACAAGTAATAATGAAGAGGAAATCCACTTGTTTCAAGTATTGTAATAGACATTTATCGCAATCAACAACATTTATTTATTTATTTATTACATCTTAATCAACAACATCAATAAATACTCAAAAACTGGGCAATTTAATTAAGTTAAGGCTATTGCAAAAATTAAAAAAACAATCAATCAACTATAATTGTTTACGAGTCTATTTTTATAGTCTATTAATTTGACTTTTTATAAGATTTATACAAGTATTGAAGCTAAAAATTGCTTCGACAGTAATTATAAGTTACTAACTGTTTTTAGCAAATATAAAAAATTATGTTAAATATGTTTTTTTAAACAGATATACTATCCCAAGAATGTGTGGCTATGTATATCATAAGAATTTTGGGCATCAGAAACTTATAATTTAATTAAAATAATTTTTTTTTTTTTTTTTTAAGGACAGAAACTACTACAGTTAAGGGCGCATTTTTTTGTTTATATTGTCATAAATCTTAAGAGATAGACCTTTCTTTATTAAAAAAGTGACTAATTATGGCACTACAAGAGCTCTTTTTTGAACATGACATCTCTCATACTTTGAGTGCACATACTTTACAACTAGACTACCACTTAACCTGAGTACACATACTTTACAACTACCACTAAACCTCTTACAATAATTATTTAACATAATAACAATAACCATTTACTATAATAACAATAACCAGTTACCATAACAACAATAACCAGTTACCTAAATAGACATTAGCATTATCTCTATCATAAATAGACAATTTTTATTGTTATAATTTTATTTTAATTTTACAAATACTTTACAAAAATTGTTGTGTAAAATTTGATTTAATTATTTAAAGTGTTTAAAAAAACAACATGAAATTGATGATTTATTTCTTAGAGTGCAAGACTCAAGTTGATCTTGCTTTTATTGTTGATATGTCCGAAAGTGTAACTAATGTGGAACCAGATCAACAAGAAGCTATTATTAATTTTATTATCAAATTAGCTTTAATGTTTCCAATATCAAAAGACCAAGTACATTTTGCTTATTTCCCATATGGAACAGAACCAAAACTGGATATACCAGATCAGTTTTTTGATGGTGCAATGAACAATTGGACTTTGTCAGACAAACAGAAACAAGAAGATTTTTTAAGAAAAATGATAATTCTAGAGTCAAGAGGTTAGTTTTTAAGTTTTTGGTTTTCTAGACAGTATATATAGAATTGAGTATCCAATCTATCCTACAGACAATGTTTGAAATATTGTCAACATTTTAAAATCTTACACAAAATATTTTAAACAAATATTGTTCCTTTAAAAAAGAGTTTGTTTTACTTTTTTATTTCTAAAAAACCTCATTAAATTGCAAACTCAATAATATCAATTTATGTTTTATAATAATATAAAATAATATTTTTAAGGTTTTAGTTATACATGGTCTGCAGCAATCACAGCTCGTGAATCAATATTCACAACACAGAAAGGTATGAGAAGTAATGTTAAAAAAGTTGCTATCTTATTCACTGATGGTGTTTACAATGGAAATCATGACACAAAAAAAGAATGGCAGTATGTGAAGGACCAAGGTCTTCATTATATTAATGTATTTTTTGTTATCATTTTTTAGCATTTTGTTTATAATTTATAATATATGCACAATTTAAATTATTTGTAGGTATCCAAGTTATTGCAATTGGAATAGGAAGTCCAATTAATACTAATAACTTAGAGTTATGGGCATCTAACAAAAACTCAGTTTTTAGTGCAACAACATACCAAGAAGCTGATGCTTTCATTCCAACTATAGGAGATAATGTCTGCAAATCATGTAATACTTTTGTGTTAATAATATTTAAATGTAATTAATATGTTTTTGATTAGTTATTTTAAAAGTTATTTAGCTAATTAATTGATTGGTGGTTGCTCTATCAATTAATGGTTATTGTTATTATTTACAAATGTTTATACTGGATATTAAAAACATTAGATAAAATAAATTTTCCTGTTATTAATTTTTTCCTGGTTAAAAATTATTTAAATATTAAATTAGTAATTAAGTATAGAAATGTTAAACAAAATAATCAGTTAACAATTTTTTATATAGTTTAAAATCTTTTGATTGTGTTATCAATATTAACAGGTTATTGCATAACAAAGCACCAGTAAAATAAAATGAACTCTTTGCAAAATTGGTTGTTATTCTACCAATCTATAGATCAAATTATGAATTAGCCAGTTTTTTAATCATACAACTAAATTTTATTGAAGTTTTCTTATCTATTTAAATAGTTAATTACATTTAAAAAACTAAAAAAAATTGTAAAAATATTTTTAGTGATTAGTTATTGGGGTAGTTGGAGCAATTGGACTTCATGCAGTGTTACTTGTGGAGATGGAATTAAATCAAGAACTAGAATGTGTGTTGATGGAATAGCTGGTGAAGGCCTTTGTTTGCCAAAAAATGCTGAAAATGAAACAGTGGCCTGCAATTTAGGATCCTGTCCTATAGGTAATGTACTAAAATTGAGCTTTTTATAGCTATTTTATAGCTATAAAGAATTATTTTAAGTAGAAGCAGATATAAATTTTATTTATTTATAGTTACTTGCAGTTATAAATTTTATTTATAATATTATGAATATATAATTATAAATTTTTATAAATATTTAAATTTTTTTTATTTGTATATATTTTTTAACTGTATTTACATCTTTGTAGTTTAAATTTTTTTTTTAACTTATATTTATATCGAAAAATTAAAGTACTTAAAAAATAATTTATAACATTGATGATTTATTTCTTAGAATGCAAAACTCAAGTTGATTTGGCATTTATTGTTGATATGTCTGAAAGTGTTACTAATGTGGAACCAGATAGACAAGAAGCTATTATTAATTTTATTATCAAATTAGCTTTAATGTTTCCAATATCAAAAGATCAAGTGCATTTTGCTTATTTCCCATATGGAACAGAATCAAAATTGGATATACCAGATCAGTTTTTTGATGGTGCGATGAACAGTTGGACTTTGTCAGATAAGCAGAAACAAGAAGAACTATTAAGAAAAATGATAGTTTTAGAGTCAAGAGGTAAATTGTGTTTATATAAAAGCAACATATTTAAAAGTTATTAAAACAAAATATTAAAAAATTAAAAATTATTCTTTAAAAAATGAATATTTCCTTTTTTTCTTTTTTTGTATATTTAAAGAACCTGAAATCTAATATCAATTAAATTTATGTTTTATAATAATATAAAATAATATTTTTAAGGTTTTAGTTATACACGGTCTGCAGCAATCACAGTTCGTGAAACAATATTCACAACACAGAAAGGTATGAGAAGTAATGTTAAAAAAGTTGCTATCTTATTCACTGATGGTGTTTATAATGGGAATCATGACACACAAAAAGAATGGCAGTATGTGAAGGATCAAGGTATAATTTTATGTTTGTTTTTATTAATGTGTTTCAATAATTGCAAACTTCATTTTACTACATTACTGTTATGTTCTAAGTTATAAGTTATATTTCTCATATTTATATATACATGCTGGTATGACCCATACAATAAGGGTCATGGCAAATTAATCCACACCTGACAATTTCTAAACTTGTTCCTTAGTCTTTATACTTTATTTTAGTAAACAGCAAAAAACAAATCAATTTAAAGTTCTGGTAGATGGTAAAATGCGAACTTTTATTGCGAACCATAAATTTACTGCTTGTTAAATTATAATTTTTTTTTTTTTTTTTTTTTTTTTTTAACATCTTCACTTCCAACAAGGCTGCAAGCAACCACTATAAAAGTTGGAAGTTACTGGAAGAGAAAAGACTAAATCTGTAGAGCAAGATAACGATTGACTGATGACTTAAAAGATTGCAAATTATATGAATCAGGAAAGCAAGATAAAGGAAGCGAATTCCAAAGAACTAATGTTCGAGGAAAAAAACTAGAAGAATAAGAGTTTTTGAAGCACTTAGGAACAGTCACAGAAAAAGGATGAGACTTAATTGAATGGCGAGTAACACGAGAATGAATTTTAGTAGATGGCACAAGGGACGCTAGCTCTTTAGAGCAGTGCCCATTATAGTATTTGTAGAAAAGAGAAAGAGAAGCAACATTACGACGATGTGACAAAGGTTGGAGATTGGCTGCCAGAGCAGGTCCAACTATGTTTACAATTCGTTTTTGCACCTTGTCTAAAAGAGAAAGAGCATCATTAGAAGATCCGCCCCAGATGTGGCAACAGTATTCCATACAGGGACGGATTTGAGATTTATAGAGATAGAGAATAGAATCTGGAGTAAGAAAGTGTCGAGCTCGATAAAGAGATGCAACCTTAGCAGATGCTAATTTTACAATGGATTTGATATACGGTTTAAAAGAAAGATCAGAAGTAAGAGTTAATCCTAGAAGATGAATGGTAGATGACTCATCTAGTACATTACCATTCATAAATATAGGAAGATCTAAATTATTACGATAACGATTGGCCAAATAAAATTGAGTTTTATCTGAATTAAAGTTCACCAGCCACTGTGAGCCCCATGCTGTAGCAGAAGTGAGATCCTTTTCAAGCTCAGATACCCCCTCCAAGCAATCAGTGAGTGTAGGCTTCTTATCATGACAAGAGTAAATGGTAGTGTCGTCAGCGAATAATGCCACCTTAGATGAGAGAATATCTGGAAGATCGTTAATGTAAATTAAAAAGAGTATAGGGCCAAGGATTGAACCTTGAGGAACCCCTGAAGTTACAGGATGTGAAGAAGAGTGTTGTCCATCGAGAACAACTTTTATACTACGATTGGAAAGAAAGGACTCAATAATCTTAAAGACGTTACCAGCTACACCATAAGAAGAAAGCTTATGGAGAAGACCAGCATGCCAAACTTTATCAAAAGCTTTAGAAATGTCAAGTGCGATAGCCTTAACCTCTCCACCTCTATCTAATGCACGGTAAAACCTATCGGTTATTACTGTTAGCACATCAGCTGTAGAACGAGAAGACCGAAATCCATATTGATGATCAGAAAGTAAGTTATTTGATTCAAGATGAGAGATTAAGTGTTTGTTGATAAAAGATTCAAAAACCTTGCTTATGACAGGAAGAAGACTAATGGGACGGTAGTTAGATGAATCAGATCGCTCTCCGGAATTTTTGAAAATAGGGATAACAGATGCTGCTTTCCAGCATGATGGAAAACAAGACTCTGATAAGCACTTGTTAAATAGTTTAGAAAGTATGAAAGCTCCGGAGAACACCTCTGCAAGACTACAACAGGAATGTTGTCAGGACCACAAGCTGTTGAAGAGTCTAAGCAGGAAATTACTTTAGATACAGAAGCTGAAGTAATGCGAATGTCAAGCAAGGGATCAACCTGTTTGACGGCTATGTCAGGTAAAACGCAACTAGTGGAATCAAGAGATGATATTGATGAAAAGTTCTTAGCAAACAATTCAGCTTTGTCTTTAGGTGAGGTGACAAAGTCTGAACCATACAAGAGAGAAGGAATAACAGATTTGCCCTTATTATTGATACTGTTAAAGATTTTCCAGAAGTCTCGAGAGCCTAATTTTTGTGATGAGATACGAGATTTAATGACCTGGGAATAGCGAGCTTTGGCGTCAGACAAAACCTTTTTACAATGGTTTCTGGCGATAGTGAACAGATGTCTGTTTTCTGGAGAGTTGTTTTGCTGATAGATATGGAAGTAACGGTTTCGATTAGAAATTGCTGCAGCGCAATGTGAGGAAAACCAAGGAGAAGAGTGAGGCTTGACCTGGAATCGTTGAGAGGGAATAAAAGATTCCATGCCAGCCTGAATCCACGAAGTTATGTAAGAAGCACATTTGTCAGCAGGAAGACGAAAGATTTCTACCCAAGGGCCATCACGAAGAAAATCACGGAAAGAGTCCCAGTCAGCTTTAAGGTAGTTGTATGTGGTACGATGATAGGGGGATTCTGATGAAGTAGAAGAATTTGATAATAGTTTTAGAGAGATCAAACCATGATCAGAAGTACCTAAGGGTGAATGTGGAGAAATTGAGCACTGACTAGGATCCAAAACAAGACATAAGTCAAGTAGAGAAGGTAAATGATTAGGTTTGTCTGGAAAACGAGTTGGAAAGTTGACTATTTGAGTTAGAGATTGAGAAAGGCAAAAGTTGAGGGCCTTAACGCCAACAGAGTCACTGACACTAGAGCCAAGCCAAGCGGTGTGATGGGCATTAAAGTCACCAACAACGACGATATTGGCTGATGGATAGAGAGAGAGGGCTTGGTCAATTTGATCAGAAATAACATCAAGAATAGTGCAATCTTGGGATGAAGGAGAGCGATATAGAACAAAGAGAAAGGCGATAGAGTGAAGTTGTGCTAAACGAAAGCACATAAATGAATAGTCTGTAGATTCAAACCTAGTTTCACGACAAATGGGTGAGTTCTTACGAATGTAGATGCCCAGGCCAAGCATGTGATTATTGGAGTCTTTACGAATTAAAGGAAGATAACCATCAACACTAAGATCACAAGATGGGACAGCCGAACTCAAATTAGTCTCACAAAGAGCAAGTAGGTCTGGTGAACTTTGCAAGAGATAAGACTCAACAGAAGAAAAGTTATTTCGAAGACCACGAATATTAGTAAATGATAGGTTTAGAGAACTTGGTGATGACGATGGTTTTAGAGAACTTGGTGATGACGATGGAATCAGCCTCTCTGAGAGCTACCACAGAGTTCGGGAAACCTGACTACCAGCCGGCCTCAGAACCATAAAACTGAGTTTTAGAGCTGTACCCTCATTAGGAGATAATAGAATGAGTTGCCCAGTCATAAAAATAGAGACACAAGCAATACCCACGCATTGAGTCAAGAAGATCCAGCGTTCAACATCCTAAACTGGAAACAATGTATTAAAAATACATCTGCGCCAGCCTAATAGATGAGGAAGGGGTGCGAGGCTGGTCAACAGATAGAATCTGTTTACCCCTTAAGTCTTTGCCTAGGAGGCCTTCTACAAGACAGCAGCTGGATGCATGTAACATCTGCCCAAGATGAGTATTTTTATCGAGACACCATCTCTAGCCTTTACTCAACCAAGAGCCCCAAGGCAGGGGGTGTTTTAATTCGGAGTTAACTTCTCCTAGCCTTTGCCTAAAAAAGCGTATCCTACAAGGCAGCAGGACATGGAGCAGGTTGTACTGGGTTACATGTTACCAGTAGCAGGAAAACCTGACCTGACTGACAAAATTAATTTAAAAGAAAAGTCTAATTTAAATAAAATATATTGAATACCAATATATTTAAAAAATCGATGAGAAAATGATTTTAATATCATGACTGTTGTGGTCATTGAAATGTCTTGGTTTGCTAAAAAGTACACAGTTTGCATTTTACTGACTACCTAAAGTTCTTGATTTTTAATTTACTCTTCTTTAGAACTAATTAGTATTTTTACCTATTACATTATTATTTATTTACTTTAATATTTTCTACATAATAAACATTTGTTTAGCATATTAGACAGTTGCGTGAAACTTAGACTATGATAATATTTTAACTCTCTCATAAGGATTTATTTAAAAAGCAAATTTGTACATTGAAGAATGGGCCCAAGAGATCTAGTTATTTCAAATAAGTTAACTCTATCTGTTTGATATATTTTATAAAAGCCTTTCCGTAAAAAAAACTTTTAACAAATTCATACAATTAAACTGTTTTAACTGTGGAATTAGGCAAATAAATTTTTTAACCTGTTGTTTGTGCGATTGATACTTAATGGAAATGGAAACCGTCTTGATCATACAAAAAGTGATAAAAGTATAAATGGTTTCCATTCACACATAAAAAGATAACGAAAATATAAAAAACGAAGTAAAAATAGCCAATATATCCATTCAAAACAATAATTCCAAACACAAAAAATATAGGAATTTATTTGAGAAACAAACAAAAGTTTTCTTGAGATAAAATAAAAAAATTAACTTAAAAAAAAAAATACAAAAAAATTTTAAATTCAAAAATACTCATAAAAACAATTTAATTTGAAACATTCTTTCATTATATATTTCATTATATATCTTTTAGTAAATAGTATGAAGATTATCAAGCTTCATTTTAGCTTTTTGAATATGATCAACATTCAGAACATTTTAGTCACAGTCTAAGGAATGCGACCTAATAATGGAACAAAATTACTATTGAATACACTTAATACACATTCTCTATACAAAAAAATCCTAAAAATTTAATGAAAGTTACTAAAACTTATGTAACATTTTGTATACATACCTTATTATAAAAAAACAAACAATAAATTTAGGTTAAACATATTTATTGAAGGAAATAAAGACTCTTAAATGTTTAAATGGGGAGGAGCTATTTGTAAAAAGGAGTATATATCTTTAAAACAAATTTATAGAGTATACATCTTTTAAACAAATTTACTCAAAAAGTAACAGTATAAAAAATATTTAATGAAGTATAAATCTGTTCAATAAAATTTACTTAAAAATTAAAAATATTAGAAAAATTATTAAAAAAAAAAGATATTAAAAAACTATATATCTTTTCAACATTTCTTATAAACACATTCTTTTAACAACTTTTTTTGAACACTTTTTTATGACACAGTAAATACAAACAGATTTAATTTATGTTTTTCATCATGACAGGATACCACTTAACTGGCATGAACAACAATCTTTTTCAACAATCAATTTAACAACTTGCAAAAACAAATGATCAAATGCTCTTGTTTTTTTATATAAAAGCAAAGGGATTTTTTTTTTAACTTTTTTAAAATAAAGTATTAAACGATCTTGTTCTTTAACATGTAACATAGAGTTGACTGTGTGAGATATATAGAAGGGTTTTGGAGATAAACACTAACTTTATCAAGAGTTTGACTTTTAAAAAGAGCAAAGTCTTCTAGAGTCTTTATCGTCTTTTAATTTAAAAATTATAGGTTATATACTTTAAATACAATTGACAAAGGACTTGAATTATGTTATTATTATAATGCATGAATTAAATAAATTACCTGACTTTAAAAATTTCTTTACTAATTCCAAAATAACATAAGGTTCATCCTTTACTACAAAAGTTATCAAGTAAAAATTGTCGATCTTATCACTAATTAGGCTGATAAAGCAAAGTTTTCAATCTTATTACTGATTAAGCAGATTATTAAGCTTTGAGAGTACCTCATCACGTGAGTTCAAAAGTGTTTAGAAAAAAAGCATGCTAAATCCTATTTATAATAAATGGTAAAAAAGTCTGTGTAAACGCGCACAAATGGGCAGCAGCGTTAAATTAAGTATTAATTACAAGCGATTATATACTGATTTTTTTGTTTGTTTGTTTAAAACAGGATTTTTATAAAGATTATTATTTTACTGTAAGCACGAGGAGGCATTTCTTTTTTACTTTACTTTTTTACCATAATAACAACAATCTAAACAAAACCTTTATAATCAAGACTGCTGCATGGAGAAACAGGTTAAACAAGAGGAAGTAGTGGGAATCTTCTTCTATGTAGGGTAGGGAATGTAGTGGGAATCAAGCAATTTATTGCATATAAAGTAATTTATTACTAAAACATTTATGTTTTTGACTTTTTTTCCTTTTATTTATTTTATTTTTAGGTATCCAAGTAATTGCGATTGGAATAGGGAGTCCAATTAATACTAGTAACCTAGAGCTCTGGGCGTCAAGCAAAAACTTTGTTTTTAATGCAACAACATATGAAGAAGCTGATGCTTTTATTTCATCTGTTAGTGAGAATGTGTGCAAACCATGTAATATTAAAGTTTTTTGATAATAGTGTTATAAACATATATACTAATTGGTTTTTTATGATTTTTTTTTTTTTTTTTTTTTTTTGTAGTATTAAATGAGCCATCTTCTACTGTAGTTAAAACAATAATTGAGCCTAATTCTACACCTAGTCCATTGTTATGCCAACGAAAGCTTAATATACTACTGGTAATTGATGCATCATCAAGTCTAATCAATATTTGGGAGGAGATAAAACAATTTATTGCTAACTTTATAAATCAGTTTGATTTTGGGCAAGTTGCTTTTGCAGCAGTACAGTATGCATCTTCTGCAACAACTGCATTTGAGTTTTTATCAGACAGACAAGCAGTATTAGATGCAGTTGGTAAGTTTTATGTATTTTATTTATCATTCTCTAGGGATCTTTTTTAGTATTTTTTAATCATTTGATTTTTTATGACATAAGTTAAAAATCATAAGACGGTCTACGTCTTATAATTTTTAAGAGATAGATAGAATGTAATCAAATAAACATAAAAAAAAACAAACCTGAAAAAAAAAAAATTAAGTTAAAAAATATTTTTTATTGTTTAAATATTAAAAAATAAGTTAAAAAATATTTTAAATAAAGTAAAATCAAAAAAAGTTTTCAAAATAAAAAATAAATAGTTAACTTTTTTCTTAATTTTTAAAAAAAGTTAGAAACAATTTTATTTTAAATATTTTTCAAAGTGAATTTGTTTATATTGACAACAAACATTAATCAATGATCTATTGACCATTTTGTATATAAGGACCTTTTGCTATCTTTTGCTAAGTTCCGTGTTTGAGAAAACCTTGGTTTTTAGAGGCAAAGAACTGGAACAAAAATTTTTTTTTCAACATTCTAATCAGAATTGTTTTAACAATTGCAATTGTTATGAAGATAGCAAAACAAATGGTAATGGTATGATGGTGCTAAGTCAAGGCTATAGGGTCAATGTGGTATTAGTTCTCAATTGAGCTCTCGTAATTTTTGATGGGTTATCAAAGAGGTGTTAGGTTTGGCAATATGATTCATCTATCATAATAAAATATCTCGCCTTTGCAATCAGACAGTTTAGGGTGTTTTTACTTGATTTCTTTGTTTAATTTTGATAGTTTGCAACAATAGACATTTGCATCAATAGTTTGAGTTATTGTTAGTAGCTCAATGTAGACTATATATAGATTTTTTTATGGAGGCAGAATTTGCTTGGTCCATTATTTTTTTTGGACTTAAGTTTCCTAAACAATCCATTTTTCATCACCTGTTATGAATGTTTTTAGAAAAGGGTTGTTTAGGTTATGATTCAACAAAGAGTTGCAAATGTTAATGCATTTAGTGAGGTGAATTTCCTTTAATTTGCATGGAACATCCTGTTTGTTTATTTAACTAAGCAGTTGTAAGTTTGTTTATGTAACTAAGCAGTTGTAAGTTTGCTTATGTAATTAAGCTGTTGTAAGTTTGTTTATGTAACTAAGCTATGGTAAGTTTGTTTATGTAACTAAGCTGTTGTAAGTTTGTTTATGTAACTAAGCTGTGGTAAGTTTGTTTATGTAACTAAACTGTTGTAAGTTTGTTTATGTAACTAAGCTGTTGTAAGTTTGTTTATGTAACTAAGCAGTTGTAAGTTTGTTTATGTAACTAAGCTGTTGTAAGTTTGTTTATGTAACTAAGCTGTTGTAAGTTTGTTTATGTAACTAAGCAGTTGTAAGTTTGTTTATGTAATTAAGCTGTTGTAAGTTTGTTTATGTAACTAAGCTGTGGTTAGTTTTGTTTATGTAACTAAACTGTTGTAAGTTTGTTTATGTAACTAAGCTGTTGTAAGTTTGTTTATATAACTAAGCATTTGTAAGTTTGTTTATGTAACTAAGCTGTGGTAAGTTTGTTTATGTAACTAAGCTGTTGTAAGTTTGTTTATGTAACTAAGCTGTTGTAAGTTTGTTTATGTAACTAAGCTGTTGTAAGTAAATAGTAGAGTAAGTAGTAGAGTTTGATCTGCTACCTTTTGAGTTGTTATGGTTTCTGTTAACACTTTTATTTTTTTGCTATTATTTATTGGTCGTACATTATGTATTGCATCTTGCACATTAAAGTTTCTAGAGCAAAAGCAAGCAAACCAATGCTGACACTGGTGTTTATTAAGGAAGTCCTCACCATAAACTTTACATAATTTCTTGTACTGTCGTTTTGTTCAATTTGAAGCAAAACAACAAAATTTGCCAATAATGCTCGCTTTAATTGTCCTTATTTTTTAACAAATATTTTTTTTTACTTATTTTATGATGCTCAATTTTTAATTGAAGATAGTCTAAAGTCTTTAAATATAAACTTTTAATAATTCACACCATGAAAAAAATTTAAACTATATAAATATTTTTATAAGATTTTCAACAATTGTTTAAGAAAATGAAATTAAAATATCTAACTTACAGTATACATTTTCTCAATAATTGTTAGTTAGATATTTTCAGTTAAATTTTTTAAAGTTTAATTATTTTTTTTTAATTATTTTTAAAAGAAATAATCATGCAATGTGTTATTTACTGTTAATGATTATTTTGTTTTGATTGGTTGTTAAAAGTTTAATGATAATGCTAATTTATTAATTATGAAAATAAAAAACATTATTTAACATTTAAGAGTTATTAGAATATTTGAAGTGTTTCCAATATTTCATTGATTGAAAGCAGCTTAAAAATTTTTCCCCAGTAAGTTTATTAAGTAAGTTTATTAACTACTTTTCCATTCATTAGTCCTAGCATTAACTTCCTGTCCCAGTGGATAATCAAGGGAATTTGATTATCCACTGGGACAAAAAAAAACTTTCTTGACTTTTTTTGTTTAAAAAAAAAAGTCAAGAAAGTCAAGTGACATTGTTTCTTGGTTGCTAATCTGGCATTGATCATGAGCTGCAGCAACTTCTGAAGTAATAAAAAATGTCTTTGTATCACCTCATGACTTTTTGACTGTAAGTCTGTACACACTTTCATCCAGCATACTTGATGTAGTAAGAAACAATTCATATTGAACTATTTAAATTCTTTCCTAGCATGCCTTCTTTTCTTATTTCAATCTTTTTTTCTCTATCATTTTCTATTTCCTTTTCATTTTTTCTTGGCCCATGCAATCTTTGTCTGCCCATAGCAACATTTCTTCTTGTCAATACCCCCTTTGAAGATTGAGTATATTGTGATCTTCTTTGATTTTCATTAACTGCATTGCATCCTAATTTTTCAGCTTTTGAAGGCTGTGTAAGTATAGTAGGTGTCCAAATTATTAATTAATTACTAGTGAAAATTATCATAATAACCATGTTAATCATATTAAGCTGTTTTACATCTTTCATTAAATATTTATATTAATATTTGCATCATATTAAGCTGTTTCACTTATTTCATTGAATATTTTTATTAATATTTGCATCATATTAAGCTGTTTTACTTCTTTCATTAAATATTTATATTAATATTTGCAACTGAGTTGTTGATACTATTTTATATTGATTCTAGTTTATTAACTCTTTGACTATATGAAGAAGGTCTCTGCCATTACCACTTATAACTGATCACATCATTTCCTTTATAGGATGTTTTACTGTCTCCACAACACAGTGTTAGTTATACTTTTTTTCTTCACTGTGTCTAACAAAAGAAGGCTATCATTATTGCAAATTTAGAGTAATCTGAGAAACTCACCTGAAAAAAAAAAAAAATGTATATATATATATATATATATATATATATATATATATATATATATATATATATATATATATATATATATATATATATATATATATATATATTATAAAAATTTAAATGAATGTCTTAATCAGTCACATTGTTACTATAAACAATTAAATAAGTATTAATTTTTTAATTAAATTTTTGCAATCTTCATAAGATCTTAGTGCTGCTTATCCCAATTTAAAATATTTTGATTTTATTGTTGGAGTATTTGAACCTTAGTTCTGTTATATGTTATCTTGTAGTTCTGTTAGAAATTATTATACCTGCTTCTTTTATGATTTTAGTAAATCTACTTTTTTACTTTTGATTTGGTTTTCAACACAAGTGTTTCTCTGCATAGTGATTTTTATCAAGTTTAGCTTTGATTCTGTTTAATATCATCACATAAATTAAATTTGATTCTGTTTAATATCATCACATAAACATAAATTTGATTCTGTTTAATATCATCACATAAACATAAATTTGATTCTGTTTAATATCATCACATAAACATAAATTTGATTCTGTTTAATATCATCACATAAACATAAATTAAATTTGCGATTTTTTTAAAGTATGACTTAAATGTTTTAATAAACCAGAAATTTTTCAAATGAAACATATTTGAAATTTCTTTCTATCTTTTTTTAGACACCAAAGTTCAAATATTTATATTGCAAATTTTTTATTCAAATATTTATATATTCTGAAAAATGCTCAAAGTGGAAAAAAGCACAGAATGGTTTTCATTAATTTCTAAAAGCCTAATCACTGTCAAGTTTTAGAATAAAAATGCTAACTAAAAAAAATTTAAAGTTATTATTTTATCTAAAATTTAAACTTAAAAATCGTGAATATTTTAATATAAAGTATATTTACCATAAAATTATGTTTCTTTTTAAAATTTATTTTGTTTTAATTAAAAAAAAATTAAGTAAAGTAAAATCATAAAAAATATTTAAATCATTTCTAATTAAAAAAAATCCTTTTCTATAATTTTATGCTTTTGTAATTTTAAAATTTAATTTTTTTTAATTATCTAAAAATTAAATATAATTCTTATTCATTATTAAGTTTCCTAAATTATCTTTTTTAGCTATTTTTATAAACATCATTTCTCAAATCTCTACAAAATTTTATTCTTTTAATACACAGTCAAATATACTTTTATAGAAAGTATATCTTGTATCTGACTTTTTTTTTTTTTGCCTTTTTTTTACTTCAAAATTTACAATATTGTTACTAAAAGATTGAACAAAAATAAGTCATAAAAAATGACAGTTTTTGTCCAAAAATTATTTTTTTTACGGTAGTTTATCTATAAGGTGGTTGTTCATTTCGTAGAACTTTTGTAAAGTACATTGTTTGGTAAAAATACATAATATTTTCATCAGGTATACAAAAAAATATTCAAACATTATTTTAAAATAGTTTTTACAGTACAAAAAAACATGAAGGCTCATTTTAGCAAAAAAAAATTTATTTCAGCAAAAATGAAAATCCTAAATGGAACAAGTGCTATTGATGTTGCTCTAAAGTTTGTTTACAGTAACATGCCAAAGACTTTTAAAGAAGATGTTCCTTATGTTGTTTTGCTTCTTACATATGGAAAATCTAGTATGTTTTTTTTTCTTTTCTTTTTACTCTGCATAGATGTTGATATATATTTTTTTATACAGATTTTTATATATTATAATTTTTTTTTAAATTGTTAACTAATTTAGCTGTGGATGGCAAAACCCTTTATAAAGCAGCGAAACCAATTAGGCAATCAGGCATATATGTTGTAACAGTCGCTATTGGACAATCAAATTTCTCTGAACTTTTAAATATAACAAGAAATAAAAATGCAATATTTCAAATCACTGATATAGCAAAACATAGTAGTTATGTGCAACTTTTGACAAATAATGTTTGTAATTGTAAGTTTTAATGAATTTATAAGTCAATATAAAAATAAATAAGAACTTATAGTATTCTATGAGGATCAAGAAGATTTAAAAAATTAAAAGTTAACTAGATTTCAATTTTTTAAATTATTTTTCTATTTGTTTTAGCACCATTAGTAAAATCTGGTTGGGTTGAAGGTAAAGTTTTTATTGTTTGTATAAAATTTATGCACAAAATTGTACATAAACAAAATGTTTTTGCCTACATTACATATGAATACAAGAAAGTTTGTCTTGTAGTTATAGAAAAGTTTTTCTGAAATAAACAAAACAAAAAATAATAAAAAGCTTCAAAGTAAAAAATAAAATAATAAAAAGTTCAAAAATTTTTTTGATTAATGATTAAACATTATGTAACAGGTGTTCAATAAATCAGTGAAAAGTTATAAATTGCTATTATTTTCTTAAGTTTTTGATATACAAATTAAACATAAATATATTTGTATAGAGAATTTATTACTTTATACTCCTTATTATTAGGGTTATTAGTTTATTCAATACTAAACTTCTTTTATCAGTCTTTTATTTCAATGTATTTTTCCAATTTGAAAATGAGTTTAATTAGATAGATCTTTTATGAGGTTCTTGTCAACTTTTTTGAGGCAGGGTTTTATCCATATACGAAGTCGTTTAAGATTTTTTTGCTTGCTACTCCAAAAATCTTTTTTTTATTAGAGTAAAAATGTTGTTATATTTTTATGATTCATCATTAATGATGAATTTTCCTTGCAAATTTCAATACAGATCACATCTTCACCAAATTTTTTTCTGCTAATCATTTTGTATCCTTTTCATTTTATGACAACTGATTGGGTTTTTTCTAACAATTTGTTTATCAGTATTGTGTCAAATTATTAACTAGCCTAAATCTAAATTTAGGCTCAGTTTATCTTTGGAAAATTTCATTACGATGATCAAACATGATTAATGATGATGATGGTGATGATGATGATTGATGATGATGATGGTGATGATGATGATTGATGATGATGATGATGATGATGATGATGGTGATGACGATGATGATTGATGATGATGATGATGATGGTGGTGATGATGATGATGATGATGATTGATGATGATGATGATGATTGATGATGATGATGATGGTGATGATGATGATGATGATGATTGATGATGATGATGATGGTGATGATGATGGTGATGATGATGGTGATGATGATGATGATGATGATTGATGATGATGATGATGATGATGATGATGATGATGGTGATGATGATGATGATTGATGATGATGATGATGATGATGATGATGATGATGGAGATGATGATGATAATTGATGATGATGATGATGATGATGGTGGTGATGATGATGATGATTGATTATGTTGATGATTGATGATGATGATGGTGATGATGATGATGATAATGATGGTGATGATGATGATGATGATGATGATTGATGATGATGATGATAATGATGATGATGATGATGATGATGGTGATGATCATTGATGATGATGATGATGATGGTGATGATGATGATGATTGATGATGGTGATGATTATGATGATTGATGATGATGATGATGGCGATGATGATGATGATGATGATGATTGATGATGATGATGATGATGATGATGATGATGGAGATGATGATGATAATTGATGATGATGATGATGATGATGATGATGATGATGGTGGTGATGATGATGATGATTGATTATGTTGATGATTGATGATGATGATGATGATGATGATGGTGATGATGATGATGATTGATGATGGTGATGATGATGATGATGATGATGATTGATTATGATGATGATGGTGATGATGATGATGATGATTGATGATGATGATGATTGATGATGATGATTGATGATGATGATGATGATGATGGTGATGATGATGATGATTGATGATGATGATGATGATGATGGTGATGATGATGATGATTGATGATGATGATGATGATGGTGATGATGATGATGATGATGATGATGGTGATGATGATGATGATTGATGATGATGATGATGATGATGATGATGATGATGATGGAGATGATGATGATAATTGATGATGATGATGATGATGATGGTGGTGGTGATGATGATGATGGTTGATTATGTTGATGATTGATGATGACGATGATGATAATGATGGTGATGATGATGATGGTGATGATGATGATGATGATGATGATGATGATGATGATGATGATGATGATGATGATGATGATGATGGTGATGAATGATAGTGTTTAATGTCTTTTTTCATTCCATTTTCCAACATGATAACATTCTATAACTTTTTTATAATCAGAGCTATTTCAGCATGTTGGATTTTATCAGAAATGGCAATTATTTTAATTTTAAAGTGGTCCACAGTGAACTTTTTTGGTAAGATAGATGCACAAAATAAAATTCGTAAATTTGTTTTCTGTAAGCATCTTGTTTTAACACCATTTTCTTTCAATTGTCACAAACTTTACAATTGTTAAAATCTTGTCAATTTGTTACAAAATCCAGTATATATGAAGAAAAAGTATTAAATTTTTAACAAATTAGGTAGAATTTTTAACCCCTCAGTAGTTAGAAAATGTTAACATTATATAATAAATAGATTTATAAATAAAATGATATTAACATTAATAGTAAAGATTTTTCTTTTGGTACAAGTATTCAAAAGATTTTTTCATTTGGCACAAGATTCAAAACACAAGTGTGTGGCACAAGTAACACACAAGTAAATATTACCTGTAGTAAGATCATCTTTAGGCTTATCCTAAGATTTAAGATTTAAAGTTAATAATAAAATTTAGTAAACTTATCTTTATAAACAAGTAAATAGTTATGTTTAAGCAATAAATTTGTATTACACAAGTTTAAAAAGTATTTTACAGTTACATGTTTTAGTTAAAGTAATTCAGAGTACTTCATTATATATGGCCAGTTTTCTTATATAGAAAATGTTTTGATTTATATTAAAAAATTTTATGCGTATAGTGTAAACATACCTACTTAAATATTATTTAGAACATCTGGGATACACATATGAACCTTGTGTTATGTTTACATTTGACTTAAACTGCATGGATGATTCTTTTACTAATCACATTATCTATGATGAATCAAGATGGGGAAATGATGGTTTTATAACTGATGATGTCTCAATTGATGGTTAGTTTTATTATGAACAATTGATGGTTAGTTTTATTATAAACAATAGTAAACTGTACTAAGTTATGACTTAACAAACAATAGTGAACTAAGTTATGTCCTTTGCATATAATATTAAACAAATGTTTGTAAACTATGCACTTTAATATATTTTCTGATAAATGGTTACAATTTTCTTTCTAGTTTCCAGTTTATTTCTTATTTATTTATAGTTTAAATAACTTTATTTTCTTTATAATTTAAAGAACTTTAGTTTATTTAGTTTAAAAAACTTTAATTTATTTAATCATTTTCAGACAATTATGAATATTTTTTTTATAAAACGAAAAAATTTATTTTTAAATATATTACTTAAAACCATTTTTAAAAAATTTCTCATTCAACTAATATATTTTTATTGTTTTTTTTTTCTTCTAAATTTTATTAGATTTTACTCCCCACTGCAAGACAAAACTGTCATTCAATGATCCTGGATATCTTGTCTTTAATGGTTCAAAGTTTAGAAACAAACCTGTTGATGGAATTACAATTGCAGCATGGCTTCTACTCAATCCTGGATATACACATACAATATTTTATGTCAGCAATTCAGATAATCTAAGTATAGTTGTTTTAAGTTCATGTATACATAGAAATGAATAATATTAAATAATAATTTGAATTTATTAAAGTATATAATTTCATTCAAATTAAAAATATTCACTTTTTTGCTAATTTAATTTGTATGTTATCATAAAAATTTTCTTTTAATAATAATGTATATCTTATGATAATATTGATATACCACTCCCTAACACCGCCCCTCAACACCAAAGCTTAGCATTCTACAAATATAAACAATGATCTAGTGATGTGTTTTAGGAATTTGGAAATTATTTCAAATATATTGTCAAGTGGTTATACAAATTTTTGTATAATCTCTTGAGGTTTGGGTTTAAATTTTCTATAATTAAACAAATAGTTAAATTTTAAGGAAGGAAAATTTCACTTTAATGAATCAATAAAAAAATTATTTCTTTATCATCTTCATCAGATCATTGTTCTTCTTAGCTTAAAACTTTTTATGACTTTTTTTATGACGATCCTTGGACTCGTGTCTTTTGTCTCTGCTGCTGATGTTTCTAAATTTTTTTTATGAGAAAAAGTCTTTTGAGAATAAAGATCTTATTAAGCAAGAAACAAGAATCTGTTTTTGTCTAACACTAAAGTTCATAATTTTTAGATTACTAAATCTTATATTATTAACTGTTATATTTTATATGATGCGCAGCGCCCTGTTCATCATGGTTCATGTTTCAGAGTTAAAGAGTTGAGAGAGGGTTGTAACCACAATAAAGTAATCTCCTAGACAAGTAATCTCCTTGATCTTCAACAATAGAAATAAAAATCTTCAACAATAGAAATAAAAATCTTTAACAATAAAAATAAAAATCTTTAACAATAGAAAGAAAAATCTTCAACAATAGAAATAAAAATCTTTAACAATAGAAATAAAAAACTTTAAGAATAGAAATAAGAATCTTCAACAATAGAAATAAAAATCTTTAACAATAGAAATAAGAATCTTCAACAATAGAAATAAAAATCTTCAACAATAGAAATAAAAAACTTTAACAATAGAAATAAAAATCTTCAACAATAGAAATAAAAATCTTTAAGAATAGAAATAAGAATCTTCAACAATAGAAATAAAAATCTTTAAAAATAGAAATAAAAATCTTCAACAATAGAAATAAAAATCTTCAACAATAGAAATAAAAAACTTTAACAATAGAAATGAAAATCTTTAACAATAGAAATAAAAATCTTTAACTATAGAAATAAGAATCTTCAACAATAGAAATAAAAATCTTCAACAATAGAAATAAAAAAACTTTAACAATAGAAATAAAAACCTTTAACAATAGAAATAAAAAACTTTAACAATAGAAATAAAAATCTTTAACAATAGAAATAAAAATCTTCAACAATAGAAATAAATATCTTCAACAATAGAAATAAAAATCTTTAACAATAGAAATAAAAAACTTTAACAATAGAAATAAAAATCTTCAACAATAGAAATAAAAAACTTTAACAATAGAAATAAAAATCTTCAACAATAGAAATAAAAATCTTTAAGAATAGAAATAAGAATCTTCAACAATAGAAATAAAAATCTTTAAAAATAGAAATAAAAATCTTCAACAATAGAAATAAAAATCTTCAACAATAGAAATAAAAAACTTTAACAATAGAAATGAAAATCTTTAACAATAGAAATAAAAATCTTTAACAATAGAAATAAGAATCTTTAACAATAGAAATAAAAATCTTCAACAATAGAAATAAAAAAACTTTAACAATAGAAATAAAAACCTTTAACAATAGAAATAAAAAACTTTAACAATAGAAATAAAAATCTTTAACAATAGAAATAAAAATCTTCAACAATAGAAATAAAAAACTTTAACAATAGAAATAAAAATCTTCAACAATAGAAATAAAAATCTTCAACAATAGAAATAAAAAACTTTAACAACAGAAATAAAAATCTTTAACAATAGAAATAAAAATCTTTAAGAATAGAAATAAGAATCTTCAACAATAGAAATAAAAATCTTTAACAATAGAAATAAAAATCTTCAACAATAGAAATAAAAATCTTCAACAATAGAAATAAAAAACTTTAACAATAGAAATAAAAATCTTCAACAATAGAAATAAAAATCTTTAAGAATAGAAATAAGAATCTTCAACAATAGAAATAAAAATCTTCAACAATAGAAATAAAATACTTTAACAGTATCATAAGAAAATCAAATATTTCATCTCTCATAGGTAGATTTGATCTTATAGCTTCTCCTAAAGAAAAGGCAGAGCTACTTAAACTTTTTTTTTCATAGAGATTTTAAAAATATAAATTTGTTTGTAATAAAAATGAAAACTTTCTATAATATTGATGAGAAACATTTTGTTAAAATTGCATTAAGAGTCTTAAGCATTTTTTTGCATTATTATTTTTTTAACAAATACTGTTTAAAAATATTTATGTTTTCTAAAATCTCTATGAAAATACACTTCTTTTGAGACCCAGGTTAACATACTTTTGAATAATATTTTTTATTGACAATATAATAAGGTTTTCACACCAAATGCTAAAGATTTGAACCCAAATATCTTTACAACTTGACATGATGATGAAAAACGAGTTGCATGTTTGAAATCAAAATGTGAAATGCTATACAAAAAACATATTTTTTGCTCAGCACTAGAAAAAAAGTTTTTTTTGTTGACCTTAGTTATCATTCACAATTCACTTCTTATGAAAACCAAAGGATTGTATTTATTAGATTTATTATTAATGGATTGTATGAATTGGATTGTATGTACAATCCATTGAAAAGTTAGCATCTACTAAGGTTCTCTTATTGGGCTTGCTGTTTTCTTCCTTCCAATTCTGTTCTCTACCTCTTTAGTGAATGATAGCACAGTCCAACAAAAAAAAAACACATTCCCATTGTTGTAAGGCATCTCTTTTTCTTTTGTACAAATACTATCATGGTTGTTGCTCAATCAAGCTATTATCTCTAGTTCCATCAACCAAAACTCATTCTCACTTGACTTATCATTCAGCAAAGTCAAATTCCTTTATTGAATTTGTCCTTTCATGCTTAAAAACTTTTGTTTATCTAGTTTTTTTTTCTCACACATCGGTCAGAAGCAATTATCACTTTTTGATCATCCAACCTTGAATGTAGTTTCACTTCTGCGACTGCTTGAAGTAGTTAATTAATTTTAACCTTGAATGTAATTTTCCTTCTGTGACTGCTTGAAGTAGCTAATTAATTTTAACCTTAGAAAACTCAGTTGTTTATATCTAATAATTATTTCAATATCAATGATGTTCCTATACTAATGAATGAAAACACTCTTTTTGAGCCCTTTTCTTTATCAATTATCTAGTTATTTTTCACTGATGAGCTTTCATTGAAACCATTTATATAATTTATTGCAAATTTGCTAAGGTTAAAAGGTGGCTAAGGTTAAAAGGTGGCTAAGGTTAAAAGGTGGCTAAGGTTAAAAGGTGGCTAAGGTTAAAAGGTGGCTAAGGTTAAAAAGTGGCTAAGGTTAAAAGGTGGCTAAGGTTATTGTCTATTTCTTATTTTTTCTACCTCTAGATCTCTTTTTCTTTTATGGAATGTTCCATAAAAGATGTTAGTAATAGAATGGAAAAAATATTTGGACATGTTCTTTTTATGATGCATTTTTTTTAAACAAGGTCTAAAAATTGTTATTTGGATTTGCTCTAGCTGTGAAACTGGGATCTCTGCTCCTTTGTCATATGGTTGTCTCTGTTCCTTTGTCATATGGTTGTCTCTATTCCTTTGTCATATGGTTACATCTCTTTCTTTTTGTATTTGTTTTGTAATACTACAACAGTTGCTGGTTGAGTGAGCCATCATCACAGCTTCCATCAACCAAAGCTCAATCTTGCATGATTCATCACTTAGCAAATTTGCATCTTTTTACTGTTCTTTTGGATTAAAAAAGCGTTTATTCAACTAGTTGTTTTACTTAAACATTGATAATTTTAAAATTTTTCATCTTCATATTTTTCTTATTCAGAGTTTACAGTTTCTTTCAACCATTTTTGTGCTTTTTAATTCTTTTCTTTGCTTTCTATCAAGCACCAACCTAAATGATTGCTAACAACTTCTTATTGTAAGATTATAACAAGTGTGACATCCAAAAGAATAATAGCTTCTTATAAATTTTCATTGTAAGGTCGTAACACTTTTAATTTTTTAAAATTTTAAAATTTTTATAATAAAAAAACTTTTTTCTAATTCATAAAAGATTTGATATTTATCTATTAGTTTTAATATAGATTTTCAAATAACTTTTTTTAAATTTCATTCGTATTTTTTCACAAATTTATTTTTCACAAATCTTGAGGCTTGTGATTATAAATATTGAAACAGCTCTTGAATATCACTGAGAACTTGAGTATTACACATCTAGATAGTTAAACAGATTTTGAGTATTACACAGATCTAGAATGTTAATTTGAATTATGATTTTTTTTTTTCAATTTCAATGTGGAAAAGTTTTTTTAATTCTTTTTAGTTTTAAATTCGTTTTAGCTTGTTTTATTCAAAAAAAAATTTTAAAAACAAAAAGTTTATTAGCATTTGTAGCTAAATTTATTATTAAATTAATTATTAACATTTTTTTTATTAGCTCTATACGATTTGGAAGTCGATACAGATGGAGCAATTAATTTTTTTATTAAATATGAAAATAAAACAATTTTTGGTTTAAAAAGTAACAAAAACGTTTTTAAATTCGATAACGAATGGGTTCACCTTGCAGTAACTTATGATTTAGATGATAATAAGGTATACGTTAAATAAACTTAATAATGCTCTGCAAATAAAATTTATCGACAATTTTAATATAGCAATACTTTAATATTTATTTAAAATATTTTTTAGGGATATTTGTATGTAAATGGAATTGCCTTGGAGCCAAAATACCTAACTAATCAACAAGAAGTTATCTTTTTACCAGGAGATTGGAGTGGTCATATTAGAATTGGTAAAGACAAACCTGGAAGTAGGAAACAATTAACAGGATCTATTGATGAGTTTTATCTCTTCCCCGGAGCTTTATCAGCTGACGATATATTCAATTTAAAAGGATTTTGTGGTCGATATAGTATGATTCAAATTTATTCTGTTTTTCTATTGAACTTTTTGAATTTTTAATTATGACTTTTCATTTTTATTCAATGATTACTTTTAGAGCATCGTGTTTTAACTTATTCTGGAATTCTTTATGAAATTTTTGAACAACCAACTAGCGAGAAGGTATCAGACTTAAAAGCAGAGTTAAATGATAAGACGCCTGCTTTCAGAGTTGTTCTAGAAAATTTTATTGCTCCAGAACTTCCAGATGGTTATTCTATTACTAACGGAAGATTCGCCGCAAAATTTAGTGGTTACTTTATTCCTCCGATAAACTGTAAGTCAATAACATAATCCTAAAGTTTTCTTTAACAGAAGAGTTAAGAATATTTTCTAATTTCTATGTCCTAAATTAATATGTCCTAATTTTTTTATCATACAGCTGAGTACACTTTTCAAATGGAAGGTGACGGAGACACTGCAATCTTTATGAATGTAAATAAATCATCAATCGTTTCGGATGTCGTTTATTTAACTACAAAGGATAAAAAGTAATCTTTTGCTGTTGCAAATAACAAAACTAAAAAAGGATATTAAATTCATTTTTGTATTATTAGATTGTTTAAAATTTTTTATATTTTACAGAACAGAAAAAGAAACCTACAAAGTTTTTTTACACCCTGGGAAACGTTATTACATAGAATTATTTCAACTTTCAACGGATCGACAAAATCGTTTAAAACTTGGTTATCAAGCGCAATGTCGTGAGAAAACAAAAATTCTTGTCTCAGAGAATATTATTAATAAAGCCAACATTATCTACGACATACCAAGTAACTCTATTTTACTAAAACCTTTTAATTTTATATTATTAGAATTTTTAGTGAAATGTTTCCTTTTTGGGGGGAGAGTTTGATAGAAATGATTCGCAAAATCAAATCTGGTAAACGAGAATATTTAAAAACTTAATAGACATGAACTTCAAAAAAAGTCAAAAAGTTTTTTTTTTTTTTAAAGCATTAAAATTATTGATTTTGTTTAATTAGACTTGAAATAATTATCATATGATTTTTTCAATTTGTTTTATTTCTCTTTCTTATCATCGCTATTTTTCTCTGTTTTCAGGAAACTGCACAATAATCAACAATTACGTGCACGGTACACCTGATGATCAATACAGTTTACGTTTAAGCTCAAAATGTGATGTAGTCAGCACATACTGCTATAATATGACAAAATTTAAACAACGTGGAACACCAAAAGAATATCTTACCTTGATTTCTGGCCCTGAAAGAAATTACGCAAGCTTTTACAGACCTCGTCTTGTAAACTTTAATACCTGTCAAGGAGATGTTGTTAATGAACCATTAGAGTCTGAAAAAAGATGGGGTAAAACATGGTACGTATATCTATTAATAGATGTTATAGCAACACAAATATGGGTGAAAAATAAAAAAGTGTATAAGCTCTGTAAAAAATATTCTTTTATTTATTATTTTTTTCTGAGGTAAAAAATATGTCGAGTAAGTAAATTAATCAAGAAAATGCTAGTTATATTATATATATATATGTATATATATATATATATATATATATATATATATATATATATATATATATATATATATATATATATATATATATATATATATATATATATATATATATATATATATACATATATATATATATATATATATATATATATATATATATATATATATATATATATATATATATATATATATATATATATATATATATATATGTATGTATATATATATATATATATATATATATATATATATATATATATATATATATATATATATATATATATATATATATATATATATATAAAGCATATTAACAAAATAAATGCAAATTTTTTAACTTTTAAATAGGTTTCGTCGAGTACACGTAAACACGTCTACTATGTTGATTACCCGTAATGATTTTCAATTTGCGTATTCTGAAGGAAGAGAAATTACTTATGGTTCAGCGGGTGATTGCTATTCAAAAAGCTCTGAAGACTGTCGGCAAGGGCGGTTTAGCATTGATCTTTCAAAAACTGGAGCACACATTCACGGAAATTTGCGATGGGCTGCAACGGGATATCCAGAAAATATGATAGAGCGCATAACAAGTTTCAAATCGTCACCTAATAACAATGTTATTTCCGCTAATTGTGGTGGATCTTGCGCTGTCTGTGAACCAGAGACTAAAACACTTATGATTTTACCTGATATATGCTCTTCAGACAGTTTAGGTACAAAGAAAAATAAAATTCATCATCCTCGTATACCAAGGAAGCACAAAAGGTCAAGACCTTGGTGGTATTTTTGGTAAAACCGAAATGTTAAACAAAAATTTTTTTTTTTTTTATTATACACTTTATATTAAAGCAATCAAGTTAAAAAATCACATCAAGTGTTTCAATTGTTATAAGGCGGTAATTTATTCAGCTCCCATAGCTTTTTACTCAAGGTTCGAATCTCGTATTGTTTTTACACAAAATAATGCAAAGTATATGTATATATTATATACAAAAATAGAAAAAACTACATAATTATAATATAGAATTATAGAAAATCTTTTAATAACAAATTTCAATTATTAATTGAAGTTTTTATTCCCTTTTAATCTTCTTTTTTTTCATTGAGTTTATAAGGAAAGAATATTCGCATCATTAATAATATATAACTTTAAATAAAATGAACATTCTTTGATTTAAAATCAAATAAACTGAAGAGAATTTAAGATGTCTAAAACCAACGCTAAAATAGAGAAATCTAAAAAATCTTCCTTTCCAATCCTTCTTCCTGTTTTAAAACATAAAAATGAACAAATGTTAAAGTATGAGATCATTCTTATTGAATGGAACAGTGTTGGCGAACATTTCTTAAATGAAGTCAAATTTGAAGAAAATCCGTTTGTCAGAATACATTTATTTTTTAATAAAAAATGGAGATACTGTGAAAAACTCAAAGTCTTAAGTAAAAAACTTTCTTCGAATTTAATATTGCATGAAAGCCATACTTCATCTGACGAAGCATCATGGATACATCTTTTAACATATTTAATAAACTTTAACACAAAGTCAACCATATTTAACAAATATTCGTCTCAACATTCAAAACTTAGTCATCAATTAACTCTGGTGACAAATAATGATGGGAAATACAAAGAAGCTGAGGAGTTGATAAAGTCAAACATTACTAACACTATAATTGTTGATGGATGGAGCTGCACATTAATAGATTTGTTTGAAAATGTTTGCAGAGCGTGCAAAATCGTATTCTGTGACGTTTTATCAGCGGAAAAACACGACCGTATAAAGCACAACTTTTTATGCAATAACATTTCTTGCGAAAGAAGTCAGCGCGGGAATGGTTTTTATTCTACAGACGAACTTAAAAAACATTTGAGAAAACAAAAGCATTGCGAGTATTGTCTCGATAAGTTATTTTGTAACTTAGAGACTTATAAAGAACACATATCGGAGTTTCATGTTCTTTGCAAATGCCCTTGCAACCGATATTATAGGAATATTGATGACTTTATTGCACATTACTGTTCTTTTTATCCATTGCCTTGCTTAGAAGATGTTAATTGTTGTGGTAGATTTAAAAATATCGATGAACAATCATTCCATCATAAGACTAAACATGGTTCCGCTTTACCTTACTTTTGTCTTGCTTGTTATAAACAATCAAAGTTAAAGTGTTTTTATAATTCAGAAGAACTTATGAAACACGTCAATGAAGCTAAACACGTAGGTGACAGTTTTCATATGTTTATGTTACCCAATGAAATGGAATAAAGCGAATTCAAATGACTTCCTTTTAAAAATTAGTGCAGTTTATTACGTACTTTTTAGTTGAATATATACCTGATTAACTTCAAGAAAGTGGAAGTAGACTCTCCTCTTTTATAACAGAAACTTTTTTCCCTCAATTTAAACTAATAATGTTTCGATATTTTTAAATTTATTTAAACTAATAAAACCTCTATAATCAGCATGCTACCTTATAAAGACATCTCCATTATCGTTATGCTACCTTGTGAAGACATCTCCTTTTTTACTATGTTACCTTATAAAAACATCTCTATAATTTTTATGCTCCTTTTTAAGAAATCTCAATAATCATAACGCTACTTTATGAAGAGATCTCTAAATTCGTTATGCTACTTAATGCTACTGTTAATCTACCCTATAAAGAAGTTGCTTAAGTTAAGAAAAAATATTCTGAAAAACATGAAAAAATTTATTAAACGTTTTACTATCAAAAATAAAAATTTAGCTTAAAGTTTATATTTCTCTAAAAACAAAATACATATAATTATAGTGTGACTTGCATTGTGTTAAAAACTATTTTTAAATAAGTTTTACCACCACACAACTCATATTCCACCACACACCACAGATCCTATTGAAATTTAGAATATGCAAAACCATAACACCTCATTTTGGCAGAAAGACAAGATTTGTAAAATTATAGAAAAAGATTTAATTTTTGCAAACTTAGCTTTACAAACTTAAATTTACACATTATATTGTCTTATTTGTTAATAAAAGAAAATTTTGTGTTTAATATTAGCGAAGATTTATTTTTAAGAGTTTCCGCTTACACAGACGTTAAATCAATTAGTCATACAATAATGAAGTAATCGAAGTTTGTAAAGCAAACCGATTTTATTATAACTTTTGGTTTAGAGAGTATTTTGATCAAACTTTGCTTTTCAAATCACTGTCTAATTTTTTCCAAAAGCTTGACGTGACATATAAACAGTTGCATAGGAATTTAAGCATGGATCTTTATTAGTTATCGTAGTTAATAAAATTATTCTATTTTGATTAATTTAATTTTAAAAAAATGAATGTAAAGTTTAAAATTGAAACAATTTGAAATATTGCACATTCACGCGCGCATAGTTTTAATATGAAAAAAAAAAGGAAAATCCATTTAGTGACGAGATCATGTGTACAACAATTAAGTACTTTTTAGTAATGTAATAAAGTATTTTGAAGTACAAATCAGTTTTAACAATGCAACAGATTTGTGTCACTGCAATATCTCAAGATCAGAAATCTCAAGTTGATTATTAATTGATCTAATACAAAGATTTTGATTGTGCGAGCAATCAAACATTTTTATCAGCCATTTATATTAAACCTAATATAATAAAATTAAATAAATTCTTTTTTTTATTATAAAATAGTTCTGATACGTTTACTTTTAGTTTTTCTTTTAAAAGTAAGGACATTACTATTATTCTTTATTTGTTGATTGAAATTGAAACCACACTAAAATCAAACAAAAACTAATTGCACTTAAAACAAAAGCTAATCACACTTAAAACAAACGTAAGAACACACACAAATAACAGCTACCGACAAAAACAGTTCTTTAGTTTTGTTTTAAAATTCAAAAAGTTTCTTTGTAATTAAGATAGATCAAATTTAGGTCAAAAACTTCTATGCATCTATATATACTGATCAATTTGTATATCCAATAATTGAAATCAGAAAAAAATTGTTATAAAATAGTATATATATATATTTTTTATCTTCGTAAACAACCGAGGATTTGTTTATCTTTAGATTAAAAACAAACAAAAAAAAAATTGTTTACACATCTTACGAAATAAAATCGGCTGATAAATGGCTATTACCGTTTACATTTTTATCAATACAGTGTTATAAAATGATTTCTTGATTAATCAGGTCTGTTTTACAAGAGCTTCATGTGTAAGTTAGTAACTTTGCACTATTGTTACAGTTACCATTATTTTATCTGAGTTTAGCGAAAAATGATAACTACAAAGGTATTTCAAAGTTTGCGGTATTTTTCATTCATTAAATGTAACACATTTGAAGTTTTTACAAAAGCTAAAGGATCCGTAGTAAAAAATAGACCTTTTTTAGCCGGATCAACGGAAATAGGTATGCCGGAATACCTGAGCCATCATCCTAATAAAAATTTGCTAGTAGTTCGTTGTAATAATACTAACAATGTAACATTGAGTGACGTAGCCAATGAGTTTCGTTTTTATATAGATGAAAACTTAAGCCAATACAGCGCTATTTTATTCAAAAGACTTCCTATTAAGACGGAGAGTGATTTTAATTTATTTATGTCACATTCTGGCTACAAAAGTATTGCATATGTTGCAGGAAATGCTTCACGATCAAAACTGGTTGGTGAAGTATATGAAACAAGCAACGAACCGGCAGATCTTAGCATTGAGCCACATAATGAAATGAGCTATCACATCACATTTCCTAGAAAGGTAAAAAATAGTAACGGCGCTACCAAAATTAAGACGTTGGGGAAAATAAATGCATATCTATAAATGATATTTTTTAAAGACTCTTTCCAGCAAATTGTGGCGCCGTGCCTATAAAACATATTTTTTTTCAATTTACTCTACTAATTTTTTGAAATTTTATAAAAAAACTTCAAAAAATTAAAACTTTTATTTAGCTTTTAAAAGTAAGTTCAAAATAACTTTTTTTTAATAATTTAATATAGATTTTCTTTTGTTGTTTAACTCCTCCTTTAACTGACGGCGAGACACCAATAGCATTTAATAGAGACATAATACAACACATCGACAAGAACTACCTTGAAAAAGTTGAAAAAAGAGGTATTCGTTATATTCGTAACCACGGCAACAAGAAACTGACAAAATATATGACGTGGCAAGATATTTATAGTACTTCATCACATCAAGTAAAAAATTTTCGTTTCTTTATTAACAAGAATAAAATAGGGATGTTCCCGAATTTATTTGCTGTAATTTTATCAAACGTACAATCTTAAAGGTTTTACGCTTGTATAATTATAATGCAATTAAATACGATAAAATTGATTGTTTAGGAGGTGGAGACAAAATTACGAAAGTTTAACAATAATTGGAAATGGAACGAAAACGAGACGTTAACAACATGGTATACTACCTCGCCCATAATTTACCATCCTGAAACCGGAGAAAAAATTTGGTTTAACCAACTAAGTGCAGCTCACAATACATACTACAAGTGCCATCCTGATTATATCGGCAAACAGTTAAAAGATCATGAATACTTTTTACATACGACGTATGGAGACGGAGAAGAGTTTGAGCCAGAGCTAGTTCAACATATTCGTAATGTGGCATGGAACGCATCAATAGGTTTTCAGTGGGAAAAAGGTGATGTAATTGTTTTGGATAACTTGCTTGCACAGCACGGGCGCTTAAGCTATACTGGTAAAAGAAAAATTGTGGTTAGTTTAACAGATATGATAAAAAGAGAGGCAGTTCAAGCTAATTCTTAATGATGAATTATTTGATATCTTTTAACATCAGAGCATAGAATTTAAATTAGTTCTGTTGTAAGACGTAAAACTTGTTTTTTTTTTTTAATAAATGTTGCTTTTTTTATTTAAATAAGATATATTTTTGGGACTCGAAATTTCTATAACTTCTCGTTTATTTTCTGCCTGAGAAAAGCTTTTTACTCCTTCAAAAGCTGTTTATAAACTATAAAAATTATTGAATAGAAACTTTGAAACTTTATTTAATAGTTTTTTGTCATGCCCATTTATTTTTTTACAAGTCTTAAAAATAATAATGAAAAAAAAATGTTAAAAAAAATAGTAATAACAAATAAACATTAGTTAAACAATAAGCTAACTAAAAAGAAAATAATTTAAACGTAATTTATGATAACATCTATTATAACAACATCTATGATAATAAATATATGATAACATATCTAATAAATTATGCTAGTTTATGCTTTCCCGAGAGCTCCGACAAGAATTTTTCATGTGGGCTATATATAGCAATTGCATGTTAATCATATATTTTCCACTCTCCTTTATGGAATGGCTTTGGTGCGAACCATATGTGACTATAATGTTTATCCTATTAAAACCACTTTAAATAGAAACGAAAGCTACACTTCATTTTTGCGCAAAAGCTTCATGTGGCCCACGTGTGGTAAGCATATGTTAGCCATATATTTACCACTCTCCTTTATGAGATAGCGTTCGTGCGTTCCATATGTGGCTATAATGTTTACCCCATTAAAACCACACTAAACAAGAACAAAAGCCGCATTATTTTCCTACAAAAAAATTATAACAAATGCATAAACAAATCTTCTGACTTGTTTAAATATCATATTTAAACAAGTCAGTAGATTTGTTTATGTTTAGAATATACAAATAGTTATAAATATATACCTATCAAATAAATATCATACGGTTTGTATACTTATTTGCATACGAATACCAGTTAAAAAACTTTAATCGAAAAACATCATACTTTTTGCTTTTATTTATAATTTTATTCACAGATAAATATATACGTACAAAAACTTTTCATTAAATTTAAAAAATTCATTCTGTATTAGTTCTGCACACAAAACTAATCTGATGATTCATGCAATGAAGTAATATTCTCTTTAAATTATTTATCTAGCATTCTTACATTGTCTTCAAACAATAGCTAAAGATAGTTTCATATCAAACCCATGTACAAACAAAATCGAGAGAAAAAAAATCAATAATAATGAAAGCTTGCTTAAATTGCCAACCATTTTAAAATCTAACGTTGTTTTCTGGTAGCAAACACAACGTATTAGAATATTTTTATCTTCGCTTAGTGTAACTCTGATTAAAGTTTTTTTTTTCGTTAAGTATAACTCTGTTTAGAATTAGTATAACTTTAGTATAACTCGTTATATATAGCAACACATTTTTATTCGTTAAGTGTAACTCTAATTTACAAATTTTATTGAAAGTTTCTTTTGAATAACAATCTTTAAACATATTCATTACAAAACAGCTTAAACATACTTACAACTATGAATTAAAAATTATCAAAACTGTAAACCACATGATATCATGGAGTATTATAGAGTTTACTACAATGCATTGCAATGGAATTGTAGTTTCAATTGGTTAAAATTTAAAATTCAAAATGAGGCAAGATTGTATGTTTTATATGTATGGACCGTATGATAGCCACACCTAAGGGGGGTTGGTGCGGCGCGGGGTCTCCTGCGGTAGCCGCAGCAGGGGGTGCGCCAGTGCGGCGCCGGGATCTGGGGGGGTATGGGTGATCATCTTTTAGGAGAGAAGAAAACCGAAAGGTTTTTTTAATTCCCTTGTTTTTAATAGGTTGAATGGTTTATAAAAAGTAATTCATTAAAAGTATGATGATTAGGAAAATTTTTAAGAATTTTAATTATTTGATCTTCTAAAAGAAGAAGAGTAAACTAATGAAAAGTTATTTGGCTCATGACCAGAATATAAGGGTTCGATTCCTTTCTCTTTATTTTTGAATTAAATTTTTAAATTTTAAAAATAGAATAATCAACAAGAATAATATTAACTGTAATTATTATTATAATCTTTTCATAAATGATTAAATTTAAAATGAACTGAAACATCTTAGTAATTGTAAAATAATATTATGAAAGTAAAGGCGATTGAAATCATAATTTTTTCTTTGAATTTACAAAATTAAATAATTGATTATATTTATAGAACTAGTACTGTGAAGGAAATTAATAAATAATTTATAATAAAAAATGAAAATCATTTACCTTTTGTATAATGGGATTATAAAATAATAATTAGCAAGCTATAAGGCTAAATAATTTATAAAGTTAATTATTCCCGAAACTTAACGATCTAATTGTGAATAATTTTGAGAATGAACCAATAAATGATAAAATTTTTTGGATAATTTGCAATTGGCAGTGAAAAACTAATCGAGTTAAGAGCTGGTTTTTCATGAAATTTATATAAGTAATTTTTTTTTAAAAAAAAAGCAGTTATTTAATGCAAAGCTTATTTAACGAGTAAAAAACAATTTCCAACATCAATGAACTCTATAAACATTTAGAAATAAGTTTATGATTCAAACAAAAAGTAAATAAGCTTAGAATCAGCTATATTTTAAAAATTACGAAAAACTTTACTTTAAAAAAATTATAACTTTACAATATAGTTAATTATTATCATTTTTGTGGAAAATAGTAATGAAATTTCTTTTAATATATTATGAAAATTTTAAAAGAGTAATAATATAAGCATGAGTAAAATTAAATTTATCCTATTTTTTTCTTAATTTAATAAATTGATTAAGGTAATACAATTTCTCAGTTTATAAGGAATTTATTAAAAATCTTTTCAAGAAAACTTTAATTTATATTTTGTAAAAATCTAAATCAAGTTAGGATAAATAATAAATTAATTTTTTTTTAAGGAACTCGGCAAAATAAAATATCGACTGTTTACCAAAAACATAGCCCTCTAAAATATTGAAGGTGAAACCTGCCCAATGATATAAAAATAATTCTAACCTAATTTAAATAATATTAAATGGATGCAGTAACTCTGACTGTAATAAAGTAGCACAATTAGTTGTCATTTAATTGATGGAGAGAATGAATTTTTTTCTTAAAAAATAATAAAAAATTATTGAAATTAGAAAGTTTGATAGTTTAGTAGGGGCGACTGTTTTTTAAAAATAACAAAAATAAGCAATATAATAAATTTATTTATTGTATAAATAAACAATTTAACAATTACTATAGTAGGCTATAATGACCCGTTATTATAATAAATAATAGATAACGATTAATTGATAAAAGCTACCTTAGGGATAACAAGATAATTTTGTTATAGAGTCCTTATCAAAAACAAAGTTTGTCACCTCTATGTTGAATTAAGATATCCTAATAATGCAGTAGTTATTGAAGGTAGGTCTGTTCGACCTTTAAAATCTTACATGATTTGAGTTCATTCCGTCGCAAGACAGGAAGGTTTCTATCTACAATTATAAAATTACTTTAGACTTTTAGTACGAAAGGAATAACGTTTCACTTAGTTAATTAAAAAAAACTAATAAAAAATTTTGAAAGAATCTAAAGATTTAAAGTAATTATTTAATAAAGAGAGATTAAGTAGATCATATAGTAGATCATATAGTCTTCAAAATTATTAGTATTGGTTCGAATCCAATACCCTCTGTTTATGAAAAATTTAATATTTTTAATAAGTTTTTTCATTTGTTTATTATTTAATAATTTTATCTATAAAGGTATTCCTGAAATAAATCAACTTTCTTTTCAAGAAAGTGCTTCATCTTGTAGTAATAATTTAATATTTTTTCATGATAATACAATGTTTTATATGGTAATTATTCTTGTATTAGTAGGATGACTATTATTTTCTATAATTATTAATAAAAATTATAATAAATTTTTATAAGAAAACAATTTTATTGAAATTGTATGAACATTAATACCTGCTATTATATTAATTATTATAGCTATTCCTTCTTTATATTTATATTCTATTGATGAAAATGTTGAACTTTCTTTAACTGTAAAAATAGTTGGTCATCAATGATATTGATCTTATGAATATTCTAATTTTTCACCAAATATAGAATTTGATTCTTATATGATTCCTACTACAGATTTGAATCAAGGTGATATCAGATTACTTGAAACTGATAATGATCTTGTTTTGCCAGTTATTACAAAAATTAAATTTATTGTATCAAGTGCTGATGTTATTCATTGTTGAACAGTTTCTTCTTTAGGTGTAAAAGTAGATACTATTCCGGGTCGCTTAAATCAATTAACCTTTATTATTAATAGACCTGGTAAATTTTTTGATCAATGTTCAGAATTATGTGGTCTTAATCATTCTTTTATGCCTATTTCAATTTATTCTGTTTCTCAGGAAAAATTTATAAACTGATCTTTTAATAAAACTTAAAATGTCTCAATTAGACTTATCTTTATATCTGAATCATTATTTTGTTTTATTGTTATTATTTTTTTTATTAATAATTTTAATAAGTTTAAGATTTTATAATTTTTTTCTAATTTTAAACAATTCAGAATCAATTAATAATAACTTTAAACAGTTTTTTATATTGCACAATATATTAAAATTATAATGTCTTCTTATTTCGATCATTTTTTAATTATTAAAATTTTTGGGTTTTTATTTGATTCTCATTTGGTATTAATATTATCTATATTTATAATTTTTATAGCTTTAAATTTTACTTTTATAATTCCTTCAAGAATTTAATTGTTTTTTGAAATGATTATTAATCATTTTTTTCAAATTGTAAAAGAAAATTTAGGAAATAATTCTCAAATATGTGTATTATTTTTATCAACTTTATTTTTTTATCTTTTATCAATTAACTTATTAGGGTTTTTTATTTTTACCTTACCACCTACTACTCATATTTCATTAACTTTTGGATTATCATTTTTTATATGATTATCAATAATAGTATTTGGGTTTTTTAATTTCAAAAGCTCTTATTTGAGTATGTTTATGCCAACAGGGGCTCCTTTAGGTCTTTCTCCTTTATTAGTATTTATAGAATTAGCTAGTCATATTTCTAGACCTATAGCTTTAGGAATGCGTTTAGCAGCTAATTTAACAGCTGGTCACATTTTACTAGCCATTCTTTCTGATTTTATATTTAAAATGATATGTTTTTCTTCTTCTTTTTTTAATTTATTTCCTTTAATAATTATTATATTCATGATTATATTAGAAATAGGTGTTTTAGTAATTCAAGCTTATGTTTTTACTCTTTTATGTTTAATTTATTTAAAAGATAGTTTAATTCTACATTAATGGAAAAATATTATCATTCTTTTCATTTAGTAAATCCTAATCCTTGACCATTTTGTATATCAATGGGTGTATTGTATTTAACTTTAAATACTGTTGCTTATTTTCATAAAGGATTTTATGATCCTTTATTATTAAGTTTTATTCTAATAATTTTTTTTATGATTTTATGATTTACAGATATATTTGTAGAATCTAGTTTAGAAGGGGCTCATACTAAATTAGTTTTAACAGGTTTAAAATTAGGTTTTATATTATTTATAGTTTCAGAAATATTATTATTTTTTTCTTTTTTTTGAGCATTTTTTCATTCTAGTCTTTCCCCCTCTGTAAAAATAGGAATAAATTGACCCCCTCTAAGAATAATAACTTTAAATCCATTTTCTATACCATTATTAAACACTATTATCCTTTTATCATCTGGAGTAAGTGTTACTTGATGTCATCATAGCTTAATACAAAAAAATAGAAATCAAAGTTTAATTAGTTTGATAATCACTATTACTTTAGGATTATTATTTACATTTTTACAAGCTTTAGAATGTTTAGAACCTAATTTTTGTATATCTGATTCTGTTTATGGTTCTATTTTCTTCGTAGCTACAGGATTCCATGGAATACATGTTATTATTGGTACTATATTTTTATCAGTATGTTTACTTAAAAATTATTTTTCTCATTTTACTAATTCTCGTCATTTTACTTTTGAAGCTGCATCATGATATTGACACTTTGTTGATGTTGTTTGATTATTCTTATATATATATATATATATATATATATATATATATATATATATATATATATATATATATATATATATATATATATATATATATATATATATATATATATATATATATATATATATATATATATATATATATATATATATATATATATATATATATATATATATATATATATATATATATATGTATATATTGATAAGGTTCTTAATTTCTTTAGATTGGTATAATTAAAGTTCGATTCTTTAACTGTAATAATTTTCATGATTTTTAATTACAATAATTTATTAATATTTACATTTGTAGTTTTTATTATATTAAATTTATATTTAAATAAATATAGTTTTTTTTATTTGATTCCATCAATAATTATATTTATTATAATCATACAATTTTTTAAAACAAATTCTTTTCTATGAATTAGTATAATAATATTTATTA